CTATAATTTAGATAGTTTAAATATATGTATATATATATGCTTTGATCTAATAAAGATACTGGCGAGGCTGCCAATATTTAAAAAAAAAAAAAAAAAAAAAACAAAATTTATAGTGAAAATTATTGTAAAATTAAAGAAATTAGACATAAAGTTGAAAGAATTGAAAATAGATTAAATGAAATAAAGAGAAATTAAATAATAATTTTGACTTTACAAATGAAAAAACCTTTAAGAAGTAATTTTTTAATTTAATAGGCAATCCACCTAAGACCTAAACAAAAATTTTTTTTTTTATATATAAATTTTACTATAAGTGCGAATGTGCAGCGCCCTATCTAAAACTCTTGGGCTTCTAACAGAAGTTGTAAAGCTCATTAAGATTCATCTAATAGTGAAATAATATTAAAATTGGTTTGGTAGTTCTTGAGTTATCTTTAAAAAACTTTTTTTTCATATATAAAATTTCTTTAAAAAAAATCAATTTTTTTTAAAGAAAGTTTATATGTAAAAAAGAAGTTTTTTTAAAGATAACTCAAGAATTACCAAGCTAATTTTAATGTTCTTTCACTATTAGATGCATCTTGATAAGCTTTACAACTTCTGTTAAAAGCCCAAGAGTGATTTACTTAGTAAAAAAAAAGTTTTAGATAGGAGTGCTGCACATTCACACTTATAGTAAAATTTATACAGTATACACTGTCAAAACCGGTGTGCATAGTGAAAAGGTTTTATATCAGTTTTAAGAGGTATCAGATTTGAAAAAAATCTAAAATTCGATGAATGTCATGTCACGTAATATACAAGAAAGATGATTGGCCAGTTACCAAACTTATTCGAATAACACAAGTAAAAAAAAATTATTACTATCAAATTCAAGAATAAAAAAATTTATATGCACTTTATATATACAGAAAATTTGAATTAATATACACTACGTCTACTGTGCTGATCCAATTTATTATAGATCATTTTGCTTATAGATCAGTTAAAGTTAAATGAGAGAACCTTTATTTTCTTGTGACTAAGGAAAATCTGACACATTAGACATAAATTGACAAAAGCATAAGGGTGTTAGTGATTCAAACCAATTAGATTTTTTTTTATGAGATCAGTCACTGGCCCTATATAAAAAAAAGACAATTGATCTATACTAGAGATGCAAGAGAATTGTCTTAATGATGCCATGGCTTAAGTAAGCAATAACTAGTTAAAGCTTATATTATAACTAGTTACAATAATCATTAGGACGATTCGCCTGCATCTCTAATCTAAACCATTAACATCCGTACAAAAATCTCTGCTCTAATTTTCTACTCCAGTCTTCTTTTTGTAGGCTTGGTAGCTTTTAACGAATAAAAAGCAGATTTTCTATGCAGGTAAAATTTCTGAATAGCTTCTAGGAATATCAGTTACGTATTTACAAGTCAACAGCTTATTACTTGATTTTCTGATGATAATTAGATAGAAATCGATCTATAAAAAAGCCTTATCTATCTTGAATTAACTATGTATTTTATTTAATTTTGTATAGAACATATGTTTTAATATGAATAATGAAACATAAAAATATGTAAATACATAAATAAAATTAGCACCAACAACAGTTGGAAACTGATTTGGATCAAGTCAAGTCTTAGTTTTAAGCCACGGATCCAAGCTATTATATGACTTGAACCTAACCAGTTTTTGACAGGATTGCAATTTCTAATCTTGCATCAAGTTCCAAAACGGTAACTACCAATAACTTACTATGGTAACTTACTGGTAATTTGCCATGATAAGTTACTACTAAAAACCCTGATGCTGGAATTGGCTCAAGATTGAACTGCTAGTTTTCTTTGAACAAGAATAAAAGCAACGAAGTTGAAAAGAGCCGTGTCAAGGCTGTGTCAATGCATATAAATTTGGTAGTATATTTAGTTAAAGAAACATTAAATGCTCAGAAGTAAAAAAAAATAAATATAAAAATAAATAAAATACTTCCTGTACATAACTGAGTGAATTAGCCATCATCAGAAAATTAGATTAGATGTAGAGTATTTTGCTAAAATATATTTAATAAATAAAATTAATAAAGAATTAAATCAGTATAAAAATTTCTTTTACCCTGCTTTTTTTTTGTAAGTTTCTCTATCAACAGTATTCACATTCATTATATACAAAAAACATGAGCAATTTAACTAATGAACAAAGAAAGGCGATATGTAATCATCATCAAACAAATCCGTCAATAACCCAAAAAGAACTTGCTGAATGGGCAAAAAAAAATTTAATCTTACAAAGGCCCCGGGTCAAAGTACAATATCAAACATCCTAAAAAAAAAGAAGAGCTTAATAAAATGACATCAAATGATCTTGGAATTAAGAAGCGCCGTATTGTTATGTTCCCTGAATTAGATATTGTTCTGGCAAATTGGGTATTACAATGTGAACACCAAGGCATACGTCTAAGTGGTGATCTAATTAAAGCCAAGGGTAAAAAGTTTGCTGATATGTTAGATATTTTTGAAAATAACCAACCTGAATTTTCAAATAGCTGGTTGTATTCCTTTCAAGAAAGGCATAGTTTTCATAAATTTAAATTACATAGTGAAAGTGGTTCTACAGACATTGAAGCTATTAACTTAAGTCTTCTGATGATCATTAGTGCTACTGATCGATACCCTCTACATAATATCTATAACATGAATAAAACAGGTTTGTTTTACCCTATGGCCCCCGACCGTATAATTGCGTCTCATCAAATTGAAGGATCAGAAAAGGACAAAATAAGAATCACAATTGCACTTACGGCTAATGCCGATAGTACCCACAAGCTTCAACCGTTTTTTATTAGGCATGCGAAAAAACCTAGGTGGGAGGTTTTTTTTTTTTTTCCTTTTTTGTTTGTTAAAAATGCTCATCTAAAGAGTGATGCCGGGAGGCGTAATTAATCTAGGTGTTAAAAAAAAAACCAGTGAACAACTTGGATTCTACTACCGTAATAATCTAAAAGCGTGGATAACTGCTATGTTTTTTCAGGAGTGGATAAAAAAATTAGATAAGATGATGAGAGAATCAAACCATCATATCCTTCTTATTCCTGACAAGGCCTCTACACATGTTGTTGGCTCTCTTTCTTTTTCTAATGTGGAAGTTCTTTTCTTATCATCCAAAACAACATCAAAAATCCAACCTATGGATACCGGTATTATCGCATTATTCAAGCTCTATTATCGTCGTCTACAACTTCAGCATGCAATTGATTTGGATGAGGCTGGTGAAAAAGCTATCTATAAGGTTGATCAGTTGCAAGGCATGAGGTGGGCAAAAATTGCCTGGAATGAGGTGTCTTCTAAAACAATTAAGCATTGTTAGGCTCATACAAAAATTGTAATACCATATGATGAAGCCGGATTACCTATTTCTGTTCCCCCTATTACTAATGATTCCGAAATTGTAGAGGAAAACCAAGTCAAAGAACAAGAACTAGTTGAAGAACTTCAACATCAAATCGATGCATTATATACTTTACAGAAACCTGTAAATTTTTGACAATGTTGTTATAATATAGTGATAATATTATTACAATATAACCACGATATAGAAAAAATCTTGTTGCGATTTATAATGCTATGATATTTTTATCTTATAGCTGC